TCCGATATACTTAATTTAGATCTAATTACAGCTAAAAAGGTCATCAAACAAAGACTGGAGGAGGTAGATTTACAACAAAATCTTACCACAGGTGGAGGTACATGTTCCCGATATATCAGGGCATTACATCTATGTCCCAGATACCTCGATATCTGTCTACTTTATCGGCTGCGTCGCATAGATTCGCATTTGTTAGAGCCAGATTTAATGTGTTCCCCTCAAATGTGCTGAGCAATAGATTTTCTAACGGTAAAATCTCTGTTTTGTGCGCATGTGACAACAAATCGATAGAATCCCTTTATCATATCTTGTTTAATTGCCCCTTATATAATGTTCCCCGATCAAGGATCCTGAGTTCAATCATTCTGGAAATTGCTGCTAAACCACCTGAATTACATCTAGCTTATCTACTCCAGGACATTGACTCTTATAGAACTTTACAGGTTGCTAGATTCCTGATCTCAGTTCTGTCATATAAAAGACTTCAGGACTGCTGCATGACTATTAAAAATTCAGTAAACTCTATGCACCATCTTTATCTTCAAGGCCATAACACGGTACATTTAGAGATTATGCGTTGAAATATTTTAGTTGATATTTTAGATTGTAAAATGCTATTGATTTTATCTATTGATTTTTATCTATTGATTTGTTTTACCCTGTGGGCTTATAGCCGAATAAAGTATTATCTATCTATCTATCTATCCCCGCATCTGGGGCCACCAAAAGTCCCTGGCTACTAAGTCCGCCGTCTTCTCCTTGCCGAAGTGACCCGCGCTGGGGGCGTCGTGTAACTGCTGTAAAACCTTCGCTCGGAGATCGTCTCCCGGGACGTAGAGAGCACCTTTGCGGGTCAGCAGGCCGTCGCGTATCTGGAATTCGCCGTCCTTTGCTGTCCCTCTTCGCACCTCCTCCATCTTGGATTGTGCAAACGGATCCGTCTGTAACGCGCGTCGTACCGCGTCCAGGTCCACGGCGGCGGAAGCGCACGCCCATGCCTGCGGTGCGAAAATGTGCTTGGCTGCCACTGGTGCCGCTTCCTCGAGATACTGCGGTTTCCTGAGAGCGCATCCGCTATGACGTTGTTGTCTCCCGGGATATACTCTATCCGGAAATCGAAATCCGCAAAGAACTCCGCCCATCTCATGTGCCTCTGGCTCTGGAGCTTCGCCGTGCGCCAATACTCTAGGTTCTTGTGGTCCGTGCGGACCTGCACGGTGTGCTTGGCTCCGATGAGGAAGTGCCGCCACGCCTTGAAAGCCGCGTGGATGGCCAACAACTCCCTGTCCCAGATGGTGTAGTTCTGTTCCGACTTGCTGAGCTTCCGGGAATAGAAAGCGCAGGGCCTCCAGTTCTCTTGCGAATCTTCCTGCAAGAGGACGGCCCCCACTGCTCTGTCAGATGCGTCAGTCTCAACCCGCATGGGCCTGCCGGGATTCACGTGTAGCAGCTGGTCTTCGGACGCGAAGAGACTCTTAAGTCTCCTGAAGGACTGCTCCGCCTGGTCCGTCCAGGTGAACTTTTTCTTCTTGGAACTGAGGGTGTCCGTGATAGCTGCCGTCTCTTTCGCGAAACCCCTGATGAACTTGCGGTAAAAGTTGGCGAAGCCGACGAACCTCTGGACCTCCTTCCGATTGCGCGGGCTATTCCAGTCCAACACCGCGCGGACCTTGGCGCTGTCCATGGCTAATCCCTTGTCGGACAGCCGGTAGCCCAGGAAATCCACCTCCGTCACGTCAAACTGGCACTTCTCCAGCTTGGCATAGAGTCTGTGCTCCCGTAGCCTCTGCAAGACCTCCTTTACGTCTCTTTCGTGAGTCTCCTGCGATTCTGAGAAGATCAGAATATCGTCGAGAAAGCATACGCACTTCTTGTAGAGGAGTCCTGCTAGCACGTGGTGCATGAATGCTTGAAAACAGTGGGAGCCACCTTGGAGACCAAACGGCATAACTCTGTATTCATAGGTGCCCAGCGGCGTGAACATGGCCGTCTTCCACTCGTCACCTTCCCTCATGCGTATGAGATTGTAGGCTCCGCGTAGATCCAACTTGGTGAAGATCCTCCCCTTCCTCACCGTCGCGAGCAGGTCGTCAATCTTGGGCATGGGGAAAGCCTTGGGCTTTGTCATCGAGTTTATGGCCCTATAGTCCACAATGAGCCGTTTTTGGGGCGTGTCCTTCTTCACGAAAAACACAGGACTGCCCCCCACTGCCTTGGATTCTCGGATGAATCCCCGCTTCAAATTGTGATCTATGAACTCCCTGAGCTCCTGCATCTCATCTTCAGACATGGAATACAGCTTCGCAGTCGGCAGCGTCGCCCCTGGTAAGAGGTCAATTGCACAGTCGTAGGGCCGGTGGGGTGGTAATTGGTCAGCTTCCTTCTCGCAGAAGACCTCCAAAAACCCCTTGTACTTGTGGGGCACTGCCTGCACCATGCCTAGATGCAGCTGTTGCCCTTCCTCCTGGCCCTCCTCGTCCTGGCCGATCTGGATGCAATGTTGTGCGCAGTAGGACGAGGCCAAAGGTGAGCTGCCGCTGGTACCACGCCAAGGATGGGCTGTGTCTATCCAGCCAACTCATGCCTAACACTATGGGCGTGTCTGACAGTTGGGTGACATTGAAACTGATGACCTCGCGATGATTCCCAATTTTCAGCAGCATGGGTGGCGTCTGTTGTACCACTTGCCCACCCAGCAACTTCCTGCCATCTACAGTGACCACATTCAGAGGCAGCGTGGCTGGTAGTAGCGCTATGCGATGCTGCTTGACGAACTGCACCCCCACGAAGTCTGCGTTGCTCCCTGAGTCAATCGTAATGGGGACTTCCAGGGTGAGTCCATTAGGCAGCTGGAGAGTAGCAGTGAGCTGCACCACTGGCTTAGGTGGTAAGGGGTCTGTAGGCTGCAAAGCGCTGGGGACTGCTTCACTGACTTGCCTGGCGGAGCCCCAGCGTCTCTCCCTCCAACCAGGCATTCTCGTTTCCCTGAAACTGCTCCCCTTGGAAAGCTTCCCCTGTTACTGTTGCTAAGGCTGCAGTGTGCTTCTGGAGCCTCTGGGGACACTCTTTAGCCATGTGCCGTGCACTGTCACAGATGTAACACTTCCTGGTCCCTCTAGGAGGCTTCGCTTTGACTGCTCCTGACGCTGAGGCTCCGGCAGCTGTCTGAGCCTTTGCACCACCCAGTTCCATCGGTTCTTCCCCCGCTGCCAGCACAGGCGAAAGGCTTGAACGTTCCAAGTCCCTGGAAGGAAAAGGAGGCGCTCTAGCTGGTGGGCGGAGGTGACGCCCCTCCTCCCTGTGCCAAGGGCGTTCTTCTTGGCGCACCCCTATCGTGAGTGCCCTCTGCACGACTTCTGCTAGGGTTTGAGGTCTGTCTCCCTAGCCAGCTCATCTTTCACTGAGCCATGAAGCCCTTCCCAAAACAAGTCCCTCACTGCCAGGGAGTCCTTTTCCCAGCCCAGCACATTCAGCAATGCAAAAAAGCGAGAATGGTACTGACGCACTGTAGCCTTGCCCTGCCGCAATCCATGCATCTCCTGGCGTGCCACATCAACGTCAACAGTAGATTGGAAGCAAGCGTCCATGGCTTTGAGAAATTCATCAGAGTCCCTGCGTGCAAGACCATCTTCGCGCCACAAATTGCGTAACCAGTTTCTTGCTTCCCCATGCAGATGAGACACAATAAACCCCACTTTTTCCTCCTCATCTTTGAAGTCTTTTCGAAGTAAATGCAGTGCGTATACGACGTCTGCTCTGAAATTGGGATAATGCTTCAGGTTCCCATCGAAGTGGGCTACTAAATTGCCCCCCCTCCGTCCGAGTCCGATGCCCTCTGATCTGGACCCCGGGAACCCCTCTCTGCACGCCCGATCCCACCTGGCTTGCAGATCCTGGCATCGCGCTTCTGCTTCAGCAACTGTCTTCTGAGAAACCACGACAGCAGTGGAGAGCTCGGTGACTGCGTTTTGCAGGGACGCTATCTGCTCCTCAGTAGTCATTGCTGCCAAACTTCGTGAGCTGTGCAAAAAAAATTTTGCGGTTTTTTTGTTGTGAGAGGGGACTTACTGTCAAGGCTGCCTCAAGTCTTAGCTCACAAAAGACCAACGCCTATGTCTTCTTATATACAAAAGTGTTTATTGCAGTTCATGGTTTGCTTGACATCCTAGGCGCGCAGCCTTACGTCTCTTACGCTAGACCGCCGAAGTCCCCTCTGAGTCAGTTCCTCCCCTGCACCAATTCAAGAGACTTGCGCTGCTCCACCTCTTTCTCTCCTTCCTTTTCCGCAGGGTCCTTCTGCCCACTGGGGTTTCGCCCCTCCTGGATTCCTCTGACGCTGAATCCCCAGACTGCTCTTCCCCCTCCTGCGGGCTTTGGGACCTGGCCCCTCCTCCGGGCTCCCTGCACTTCCGCGCGCCTCTACATTTGAACTAGGCGCGCGCGCCAAACCTCTAACTTTCCTTTTGACAGTTACACTACTCCCTTCACTGCTCCCTCCCCTTCCGGGAGGGCGGCTTGCTCTGACCCCCTCCTTTCTCTGCTGCTGGAGCTGCTTCCTCTGACACACTGGAAACTCCACCCCCTTCGCTGCACTCTGGTGGGGAGGCTGGTCCTGACGCCCAGCTGCCACTTTGGGATCCTCCGCTGGCACCCTGCTCCTGACACTTCCCCCCTGGGGCTCCCTGGCCTTGACCACCGGCGCCCCCTTCTGGGAATCCTCTGATTCGCTGGAAAGACTCATGGAATCTCTTGAGTCATTGTCATCCTCTTCCTCGCTGGCTTGGAATTCCTCCCCATCGCTCTCCATCTCCTGCCTACCCTGTGCCTCTCTCCCTGAACCCCTGACACATATGTTGTGTTTTTATTTTGTATTTTTATCCTGTAAGCCGCCCTGAGAGGTTCCGGGTTTAATTAATCAACCAATTGATTGATTGATTGATTGATTAATGATTGTGGCATTTCCCCAGAATCTGGAGGTGAATTGTTTACTTTTCTCACAGGACTGCGAGGAAGAGAGGCCTCCGAAGACCCCCACTTGCCTCGGTTCCATCGTCTTCAGGACTCACAGGGTCTTCAGAAGAGCGCCGCTGCCAGCACCACCAGTGCCACCGGGGCAACCCAGTACAAGAACCAGCGGGGGCGCAGGGAGAAAGGAGGCCACATCGCAGCTGTGTCCACCCTGAACCAAGGTGAGGAGGAGTTGGGAGGCTCACACCGATTCACCTGGGGAGATTTTGTCAACCCCCCCCCCCAGGGATGACACTCGGGGCGATACCCCCCCCCCGCACCCCACCTTCCTCCGCCAGTGGTGGCAGGGGAGTCCCTAAGGGACATTTCCTTTTTGTTGTCCTTCCACAGGTCTTAATCCTTGTGGTCCAAACTGGAGAGGAGGAATAAAAGATCTGAGCGCGGAGGCAAGCGGGGCGAGAAATGTAGGGGGAAACCCAACCCCACATGGCCACCCCCAGTCCTAGAGCCTGTCACCTTTGGAGATTGTGGAGTGGAACGGAGAAGACAGCGGGCAAAGGGTGGACGGCGAGGGAGAAGTGCGAGAGAACAACCGCGTCTGCGGTGGTGGAGGAGAAGGCAGGACTGAGAGGGGAACGATCCTGGAAGGTGGCTTGAAAAGAAGGGGCAATATGGCGTAGAAAAACCGCTAGCTCACGCTGCCCACGCCCAAAGGAGGAGGAAGGAAAGGAGGAAAGCAAGCGAGCAAGAAGGGACAGCTAAAGAAAGAACTGAGAAAAGAGACAGCGAGACCTTCTGGGGGTCAAAGAAATTGCAATAAGAAGGAAAGTGAGTTTCCTCCCCCCACAGCTTGCTAATAGTACTGCATTGTTCTATTTCCTTTTTATGTATAATTCTGTATTATATTGTTGAACTGTTGTCTTAGGTGATAAGCCTATAAAGGAAGGATATAAGGGAGGGGGGAGGTGTTAAGGGAAGACTTTGAAAGGAAAGGCAGAATATAAAAAGGGGTGGGAAGAAATAAGTGGGAGGGAATGCGTAAAGGGAAGATACAAAGCATTATATAATTTTTTATTTTTGTTTGAAATAAAGAAGCTGACCATTGAATCTGCATGGATCTTAAAATCATTTCGTGGAATGTTAATGGGCTAAATTGTAAGACTAGGAGGAGAAGACAGAGTGACTCCCCCTGCAGCTGCTCAGCCTTCATGGAGTCAGAGGAGAAGGTCTGATGAGAACCAACTGGCTGCAGCCTTCTTAAACAGAGCTCTCCTCAGCAATTGGATGCCTGTGGTTCCCAGGCCTAACTTGGCCCTTCCTGCTCTCCGCCTGGACCCTTGGCTTTGCAATCATTTGCATTCCCTGACCTCTGGCTTGTCTGACTACGTGGGACGCTGTCTGCCCAACCCTCAGAACGGGCTTGGCTTCGGATGCGGTTTCATGCAAGAGTTCTTGGAGACTTGTCTCCTGTTTGCTTGGCCTAACGTTCCACCGAGCTTTGCACTCTGTTGTCACGGGACTCGGAACAGGGCTACGGCCAGCAAGCCTGTTGGATCAGGCCCACGTGCCATGAAGCCCAGAGGCCAAGTAGATGCCTGGGGGAAGCCTCTAGGCAAGATCAGAGCTGTGGGCATGAGAGTTTGGAGAAAGTAGCAGAATATCTGAGAAAAGCCATGAAACTACATGGGCAAAAGACTTGAGTGGTACTTTCTAACCTTACTAGGCCTGTCAAGTTTTATCTCAAAGCATCTCCTCCTGCAAACAGATGGCAATTGTATGTGTCAATTTACATATTCCTGTCCTCCCTGCATGCCAGTAAAGATTGATTGTTTCTTCCACTTCCAATTATTGAAATCATAGTGATTTCCTCTTCCAGAAGCTCAAGAGATATTTCTGGAGATTGTCTAATCACCAGGCGCAACAACAGTGTGAACTTGTTAACTGCACCGTGGCTGGAAAAGAACGTTGGTGCAGAGAATATTTCCTGTGCCAGAAAGCGACAGATTTCTCCAAGATTTGGTGCAGGTGAAAGGCTGAGGGGAGCAGGGATATGTCTACATGATGCTTAACACCTCTGAACATTGCCCAGATTGGGAAAGCCACTGCAGCTTTCGTCTTGCATGAGTCTTTTGATTATTCTGCTTGGCTGGCTCAGGGCATCAGAGGAGCCACAGGGGAGGAGGAGGTGGAGCCAGAATGAAACCTTTGCTGCTTCTCTGGCTATTTCAGCTGCTAAAGATGCCCCATGGACTCTGTGGGAACCGGAAGGCAAAATGTCCCTTGAATCTGATCAGGGATGAATCTGTTCTACAAAATTACAACCAGCCTGGTGATCTTCTCATTAGTGGGATCGTATCTCCAAAACATTTGCACAAGCAAGTTCTATATGTCTTTACACAGACACCCTTCCCCAAGACTGAGATGTAAATAATCATCCACACATACCCTCCAACATTTCCCTGATGAAAATAGGGACGTCCTATTCCATAATAATAACTTTATTATTTATACCTCACCCACCACTCTGGGTGGCTTCCAACATAGATAAAAGCAGAAGAAAGCATTAAACATTAAGAAAACTTCCCTATACAGGACTGCCTTCAGGCATCTCGGGGGTCGGATAACAGCATAAACTCCAACATTTCTCTGGGGCAAAGAGGGGCATCCTGAGCACGCCTCACAAAATTATTATGAAGATGGCAAGAGAAAGGGAGAAGCATGGTCATCAGTTGAAACTCAGTGGAGGAAAGGTGGTATGTCGATGAAAGAAAACAATAAAAATGATAAGAAACAAAGTGTCAGAGGTCAAGGTAAAGAGGTGTCTCTTCAGCATCCAGCAGCAATTATGCAATAAAGACGACAGCGTAGAACCCCTCAGCTATGCCCTAAATCACATGGTTGCTCTGGTGACCAAAAGTGAGAGAAAACCTGCACACCACATAAACAACTTTAAAAAGTAATGAACAAACTATTTTTGCCCCTCTTTCCCTGTTGGACATTATCATCTCATGACCTCCCCCACAGCAGCATAGATTTTCAGAATGTAGTTGTACACAGCTGGTTCTGGATGTAAGAGATGCTGAAGAAACTCATCTCCAGATGCAGAACATTGCACCAAATGCCCAAACAAGGACAGGGACCAATGTGTCCCCAAGATTACCACCTTCTGGGGTTGTGAAGAATATTTGGGAATGGTTTTAGCTTCCATTGCCCTCGTCTTGTCCTTAACGGCAGGTATCGTGTTGGGAATCTTCATTAAATACAAGAAAACTCCCATAGTCAAAGCCAACAACCGGGACCTCTCCTACATTCTCCATTGATATACCGTATTTTTCACCCTATAGGATGCACTTTTTCCCCTCCAAAAATGAAGGGGAAATGTGTGTGCGTCCTATGGGGTGAATGCAGGCTTTCGCTGACCCCTCCTGCTCTCCAGGCTTCAGGAAGCTATCCGCAAGCCTGGAGAGCCCAGCGGGAGTTCCCGCCGGGCTCCCAAGGCTTGCGGATAGCAGCCTCTTCTGTGGGCTGGGGTCGGGGGAAGCTCGGGCTTCCCCGCCCCCAGCCCAGCAAGCTCTGAGAGCGATGGCGAGGTTGCGCAACCTCGCCTTTGCTCCCGGACCCCCAGCCCCAAGGCTAAAAACGAAGCCAGGACAGCTAGCGGGATCCATCCCGCTCGCTGTCATGGCTTCTTTGCTCTTTGGGGCTCTTTGGGGCTCCCCCCCCAAAAAATAAGTGCGCCCTATGGGCCGGTGCGCCCTATAGGGCGAAAAATACGGTAAATGCTTTATGAGTCACTGATAAAGCATTTATATTAATTAGCCAAGATTACATCCTACTTAAACTTTCATCACTCCATACAAGTTGAAAGCTTACTAGACTCTCAGTCTTATAGCAATACAACCTGTAGCGTTCCAATGAAAGGTGCTATATAAATTTAATAAATAGGGACTTCCGGGTTAGCGCCATCGGCAATGGCGGAGTTCCTCTGACCGAGAGGAACCCGCTTCGTGAGAATCGTGTCTTGCCGCCGCGGCGAAGGCGGGGACCCCTTTAAAATCCCAGGCGGAGGAAGCCTGGGAACGTGGGATTCGGCGGGCACCAAGAGCGCTTTCCCTACTCGCGGGGAAACCCATTTTGGGGTTCCGGAGCGAAGTGGGTTGAACGGCGCGGTGCTTCGAACTGATTGCTACTTTCACGGAGTGAAGCCGCACGGCCGTTGCCGGAGAGCGCTGACTTTTTCCTGTGGACGATTGGATTTAAAAGTAACTACCCGTGAGTAAAGTGAAGAATTGGAGTTTTAAAAGTTGAATTGGACAACGAACGGGGGGAGGCTTAAAACAGGAAGTCCGCCTTCCTCCTCTGTAATAATCGGAAGCAAACAGGCTTAAGCTAAAGCCTTGGAAAGTTTACCTTAAGCGTTTAAATTTCCAGCACTAAAAATAGCGAACCCCCCCTTGGAAGCAGGGGAAGGGGGGGGGTTATTGGACAATATTTGCCCGCAAAAAGAGAGGGAGAAGCTAAATTTCCATCGCTCGGAACCTGGGAACCGGCTGCCATTAAGATTGTTGTATTGCGGAGCTCTGCATAGACTGTGTGGCCGAAGTATTGGGAAATTTTGGAACAAGAGGGTGACAGATTAAAATTGCAGAGCTTTGAAAAATTAAAAAACAGAGTACGAGATTGGCTCCATTATTATCAAATAATGGAGGCATATAATTTGGACAAAAAATTAGGCTTCCAGGTAGAAAAATCAAAATTGGAAACAGAATTGTTAGACCCTAAAGTTAAGAATTTGTCAAGAATGTATAACTTGCTGTTGAAATGGAATACTCAAGATGAAACGGTGAAATCTGCTATGATTAAATGGGCACAAGATGTTGGACATAATATTATGATGGCTGACTGGGAACAGTTATGGACCACTGGTATGAAGTTTACGGCATGCAATGCCTTAAAAGAGAATTTAATGAAAATGATTTACAGGTGGTACATAACACCAGTCAAGCTTGCAAAAAGTTACCATTTGCCCGATAATAAATGTTGGAAATGTAATGAAACTGAAGGTACATTCTTTCACCTTTGGTGGACATGCCCAAAGGTTAAGGCATTCTGGGAGATGATCTATAATGAAATGAAAAAGGTATTTAAATATACCTTTCTGAAGAAACCAGAGGCCTTTCTCCTGGGCATGGTCGGCCAATTGGTGCCAAAGAAGGATGGAACTTTTTTTATGTATGCCACAATAGCAGCAAGAATACCTATTGCAAAGCACTGGAAGACACAAGATCTACCCACCAGGGAAGAATGGCAGATGAAGCTGATGGACTACATGGAACTTGTAGGGCAGCAGTTGAAGAAGGCGCAAAAAGGGTTTTCTTGTGTGTGTGTATTTCTTTGTGGCTGATTAGCTGCTCTCCTTGTGCAAAGGTCAGAGGGGGCAGGGTTTCTGTTGAGGCAGGTGATTAGCTGTGGGAGGAGCTTATCAGAGCTTTGATCCATCTTTTAG